CCAGGACCCACGAAAACTTCGTGGGTAGCTTTTCAGTCGAACACCTTCCCGTTTATAGGGTTAGGCCCTACTGTGCTGAAATGCTTGAGCCACGCACATCCAATTCCTCTCAGGGGCCTATTGGGACTGATTTCGAAGATCTTTCTTTATTTTCTGGTATGTGTAATACCAATAATAGTTTTCATCTACAGTGAATCGCGGGTAAGAGAGGCTAGCATCCTTAAGTTTCAAGGCACTTTATGCGTTAGATTGGTGGGAAAGTATCTGAAATTTAGAAGGCCAAACTTCATAAATGAAGCGAAAGGTCATTAGGAAACGGATCTATTCAAGCAAAAACCATCGGGATCTCTGTTGCCGTTGCTGCCTGAATGAAACGATTTCCGAATTCGATCAGAGTAGTAACTTAACGCCCTTGAGTCAATGAACTGCTGAAAAGCTTTGATCCTCAAGTAATAACCCCTGTCAAAGATTGCATGTAACTGAGACTGATAGTATTTTAGTAAGAGAGGATGAGTCACTGAATACTTCATAGCTCATCTCATTCGATTTCTTGCAGGTTTTTGTGAAAAAGCGTGGGTGGGCGCTGTTGTAGCGACAGGACTAGGCCTTTCGAGTTCAACAAAAGGCTCGCGTCATGAAGTGTTCGGCTTTTAGCTGCATTCTCGTGTATACTTCCAATATGCACCGCCTGGATTCGCCAACCTCTAGTTTTCAGGGTAGAGAACTGCATAAATGATTCATGGAAACTTCCAGCTCAGTCTTAAAGGCAGCGCCCGCGTTCAAATTTGATGAGTATGCGGCTCAGGTAGTAATAGCAAGGTAGCAAGAAACCTATTAGTAAAGAAAAATCAAAAAAAGAAAACATGTCGCGGATGCGACGGTCGCCGTTGGGCGCACCTCGCGCCCCGGCCCATCCGCGCTCGGTTCCCACGGCGTGCGCTTCACGTGCGCCGTGGTTCCGCCCCCTGCGGTCGTAGCCAGTGTAGTACGTCCAGTGGCTGGCAGCCGGCGCCGGTTGGTTTTCACCGGGTAACGCCAGGACAGGGCCCAAAGGCGGAGGGGTGAAGCCCACTCCGAAGCCGGGGGCAGCTCGAGCGCCGGCCATGAGCCGGCCGATGTTCCATCCCCTGCTCCCCGACTGGGAGCAGCCTCTGCTTATACGAAGTTATAAGTCGGTAATTAGGCTGGCACATCTCGCACCTAGTGAGCCTTGCCTTTTCATAAGTGACTGACCTCTTGTTATAATGCTCATCTCAAAGCATAACGAGGGACTGAATCAATATTCATTAATGTCATTTTATTAGGCTAATATTAATAATAACATCGCTGTACACCTTGATCTACTGCAGCAGCAGGAGAAGCTGAGGCATCTAAGGTATGGCTCGCAGATGCGTTGTGTGTCTGCAAAGAGGGGAGGAGTGCAACGGAGGTAGTAGGCGCAGGTTCTGTCGCAGAAGGCATCTGTGGTAAAGCTGAAGACGTATAGAGTGAAGGAGTGGCCGCGTGCATTGTGCTGTAGTAAGTGCCTGTAAAAGATCCATATACACTGTATGATGGAGAAGGAATGGGCAGGTGGAAAGTGGATGGTGTGCTGAACGACTGATCAGGTAATTCTGTAGTCGGGGTGTCGATCGTAGAGGCCATGTACAATGAAGGTTCATGGAGTTGTGAAGTGTTGCCGTGGAGGGTAAGGGGTTGGGGAGTGTTGACATGATAGGTACTGTACATAGACGCACTAGGTCCTGCAGAGAAGGTATGGCTGAGGAGAACCGAGTAGAGAAAGTCGCCGTATCAGCCTGAAATCATGCTGAGACACAAACACGGAAAGGTGCTGTTCAATGCAATTCTTCAGCCTAAACACTTGTTGACACGATTGACCTTCGAAGAGGGTCTGATACAAGGGAATCAAAAGCAAGGTGTCTAATGATGTGCGAAAGGTGATCTGCTGTTAACTAGTTTGCCTTTAGCTCAGTTCGTAAGTACTTCTGTCATCCATATAGCGTAGAAGGTAAGTTCTTCACATTTTCCAGACCCATTTTCCATTCAAGCGTGTGTTTCTGAACCTTTAAGTGACTTTAATTCTCCTAACTCTTGAATTTCCCCTTTCTTCTATTTATCAATAATATTCACTGAGCTGGAAATGCTGGTGAGAGGCACCAGCCAGCGCAGCCAATTAGGCAAGGTCGCCCCACAGGCGATCTCACCGGTGTCCCCACAGGCGAGGGCGGAAAGGTGCTAAGTGAGGTCAACTTAGCTAAATTGACATTCCCCCGAGAGGTTAGTTCTTCGCATGCTTGACTGTCAGAGCTGAAACTTGAAGCCGCGGTCCCCCAAAAAGCAATGGGCAGGGAGTGTTGTGAATCAAGTTATTTCATCTCTTAGCGATATGGTTGGGACTGATTCGACCGCTGAGCTTTCCAGTTTCGACAAAAATCAAAAGCCCTGGAAGCTGCTTAACGAAAGTACTGCGCGATGTGCAGTATAAGTCTTCGCACGAGATGCCCATGTTATTACCATCGAAACTCTTTCAACCGCTAGGCTGTCCTATTTCCAACGAATGGTGAATGTTTTTTTTCAAAAAGGTGATAAGCACCAGACATTAGAAAATGTTCATTAAATAGGAAAAATATAATGAAATGGGTCGCATCTCAAAAAATGACGATTGGGCCAAGTGTTTGGGGTCAGTATAGAAATCCTGTCGGCAATCAGTACCATTACCATAGATTCAACCATGCGCGCAGTAGTGCGCGTCAGCCAAGCTGGTACTACTATCACCCACTATAAACAATTTGCTTCGTCTGTTTGCTTGTTTGTTTGTTTGCCCGAAAATTCGGTTCTACCAGAAAAACAACTTGGAGAGGTGAGGTCAAGGTCGAGATGGGTAGGGCATGTGACAAGATGTAAAGAGCAACCGTAACCCATAGTAAGCCTCGCCCACAGTGGGCGGGGCAAGCGAAGGAAGGTCTCGGTCTCGTCTCTTCGAAGCGGTCTCACTGGAAAAACTTCAATAATTCGGCATCTAGAAGCGGTCCCGAGGTGGTAAAGCAGTGGACACTGTTAGCGCAAAGGTTGTCCCAAGTCAATCTGAGGAGAACGCGCCCGAAATACGGGGACGCCACTCGATGATGGGCCGTGTGTCCCAACAAATATTGGTAAACGTCCGTCCCCGAAGAAAGTTGAGCGATCCGCAAAAACGTCTTAATGGCCGACGCCAAACAATCTGGCCGAAGCTCGCGTCATCATATCGCGGTGTACTGTGACCCGCCCACAGTGGGAGGGGCGTGACCTCAAACGTAGGGCATCAATTTTGAAAAAAATCGTAGTATGGTCCTAGAGCACCACAGACGACGTGAAACGTGGATTATAATCTCGAGTGGTCCCCCTTGAGAAGTGAAAGATACACCGTTGTGAGCGGAGCCTGATTGAAAAATACGCAAAACGGTCTCACGACACCCCAGACACCGCACCGGGAAAAAACGTTTTAATGTTAGCGATGGGTCACCGGTTGAAAAGTGCGAGGCACATCCGTTATTGGAGCGTGAGGAGAGCCGGGCGGAGCCGCAAGAAAAAGACTGAAACGTTCCCAGTGCAGTCCAGACACCGGCAAAAGGTCAGCAGAGGTCTGCAGGCCTCAGCCATTGAAGTGAGATAGACAGACCCATTGTGGGCGAAGCAGGTGTCAAGATGGGAGGGACAAAGTCAAAAATTCACGAGTTGCTTGGCAGAGGCACATAATCAGCGGGGACATGACAGCTGAAGGACACAAGTAGTTAGGGTATGAAATGGGGCAGACTCTTCAAAACGGGCGGGACGTATTCGAGATAGGCAGTGCTTGCTACGAAATTTTATACTTTGGACTGAGTGACTTTAGGGATCACAAAAAGTCGTTAGAGAAAAGAAACATTCAGCGGAAGGAAGTGTGTCTGTTGTGTGTCAAGACCCGTCCACAGTGGGCTGTACGTGCCTTCAAGCACGAGCTGCCTACTTTTACTGAGCTCGGTAGCACTTAACTACCGGTCATAGTGCTTTTGAGCCTTTTTTGTCTTCTTTGCTTGAGGAGGGATCTTAGCGAGACCCTCTCTCAGATAGGGGGGGGGGTATTTAACAGAAATTAATCACAGCGCGATGGTGTGCCCACTACTCCACAACATGCGCAGGCGCCAAAAATTGTCATGATAAGGGCATAGATAACCATATAAATAAAAATTTGATGAACACTCTTGGGATTTCGATTCACATTCGTCGAGAAGTACCGAGCAACCCTTCTTATGGTTAACAGTACGAAGCCTTTATACATTTCATTCGTTTTCACCAGTACAGAAAACATCCGTCAGCTTGGACTTGGTGCCGTCCAGCCTTGAAATCATCTTTCCCACGAGATACTGGGAGTAATATAATGATTTTTCATATTCCTTGGCTTAGAATATTTACACACAACTCATACTATGGGCCTCAAAGGTGTGCCCGAGGACATGGTTGCGAGTGGCTATGTATCTCCGAAATGTTGACGGATTAGGGCGATATAGCGAGGCAAAGACGTGAGGCTGCGTTTATACTTTGCGGCAGCGTAGCGTAGCGTAGCGTAGCGCTTCCAGCGTAGGCCGGCGGCAGTGTCGGCGCTAGCGTACGCTGGTGACGCTGGGAACGCTAGATCGATATCTATCCTTTCCCCGACACTGCCGCTGGCGTACGCTGGAAGCGCTACGCTACGCTGCCGCAAAGTATAAACGCAGCCTAAAAGCAGTATAAAGGAGAGCACAGGCGACAAAATTAAAAGTTGACACGCCCGGCATTCAACAATGACAAGTGCTCTGAACCGACAACATTACTCAGATACGCAACTACTTCACGACTATCTCCATGGACACACCCTACCCAGTCGTCGTAAAGTGGGTGGGATATTATATATCGAAACAGCCTTCATACCAGTAAAAACCCTAATAAGCTAAACCATTGCAGTTTCAGATCATTCGAAATATCCTCAATCTGACAGGCATTTTTCAATCTGGATCATTTACATATCGATCGAGATATATCGATCCCAGATTGACGACTCTAGGCATGAATATGGGCAACACATCGAGCTCGATCGCTTCGTTTCGACCGTCTGAACGGTGTGGACACGAGTGCTCGATTCGCAGATAGGCGTCCGGAGTGTTGATCGGACCAAAGTCGGCTCCACAACCGGATACTGTAATGAGATGGTATATTGCGCAGTTTTCATACGAGATTTAAATCGTTACTTTGTGTACGAAAAAAAGCTTACACTTGGGAATGACTATCATGGGGTGTGTGGCTAAGGTGTGCAGCATTAACCCCTGTTGCGGTGAGTGGCCGAAATAGAGTTCCGAAAGGGGTGACGTGCGCAACGTCTGCATTTAAGACCGATCCCGCTCAACACCTATTATCCCGCACTCGCGGCAGCGTAGGGGTGACGCTCCACACCCATGCTCCACACCATTATGGCTAACAGCCATTTGTTCGAGACAATTCCCGCGATCAAGTATTACGAGTAGTGAGTGTTCAATTACAAACCAGCAGCCGATACAGGGTAGAGCATCGTGATGTGTGAAGTGGTGGTATAGGTACGACCTACGACCCCCCCCCTCTTGCGGGAGAGGGTGTCAGTACGACCCTCCCACCCAAATGGGGGTTTCGGTATGACCCCTCCCCCTTCTTCAACACCTACTTCCCAATTTCCAAGATTTTTCAGTTTTTCACCCAAAGATTTTCGAGGGGGTACACATGAAACAGGAAAAATCACGCGGAAAGTGAACAACCCAGGGAGAAGGAGTGTTTTCCGCGAACGCAGCAAAATTGCTCTCAAAGGCACATACGACCCTCCTTATCCCAACGACCAACAGACCCTTCCCGCGCCCCATACTCCAGCGAAAGTACGATCCCCTATGTGGTTTCACCTGAACAATGCTGTACCGCTGGCGCGGATAGGTGACTCCAAAGTAGGAAGGGAAACACAAAAACTAAAATCTACTCCTGGTACAGCAGCTTCATTCACGTAGTTCTCCTGCTTCTTGCTATAGCTCCCATATTATCGACATCGGTCCGCCGCTTTTATGCAATCCCTGGCCATGAAATGGTTCCTTCTCATCTTCCAGGCTGAATGTTGTCTGATAATAGCAAAAGAAAACGAAAAATAAATGCCACCGGAACTATAAATTAAAGTCAGATAACCTTCATGTTAGGATTACGCTAAGCAAGCAAAGGGAAGAGCTACGGTGGCACACGCAGGAGACCAGCAGACGACCAAGCAAACCAAAGAACACCAACAATCTTAACAACGGACAACTTACCCAACAAAAAACGAACACCGGCAAGGTAAGAACCGCTGCGCCTGACTTTAAGGGGCTTTCAATGCATCTCAGCCTTGCAGAGTGGTATTGTACCTAAATTTAATGTGTTCCAAAAAGGAAGTACGGTCCGCCAGTACCACAACTTAGTGGAGCTGGTCAAGAAGAGACGAAAGGACGAAAGCGGTCCCTTCCGGCGAGTGCATGAGATCGTCCTAACGGACGCTGCAATCAACGCGACTATCCTAACTCGTAATTGGCCGTATAAGAATGTTGTCTTTGAAAATACGAATCGCCACACCAGTCTGTAGTCACTTTATCCCGCTCTTCGTTTCAATAACGGTACAGCTCCATGCAAGTGCGCACCTAAATGCTAAATGCATGGAAGCATCTTACGGGTCACTTGATCGCGGGATATATCTTCAGCCTTCTTTCGTACTCCTATTTCATGGTAATGAATGTAAGGGAACTGCTTTCCATGAAAGCAGATACCACTGACCACTGAATGAGCCATTATAGATCGACCATGTTCGTCCCATAAGATCATCACTTTCGAAAGGAAGAGCTAAAAGTGCGATACTGTAAAAATTACGACGTAATTAATAAAAGGATGAAATAAAACAAGAAATGATGAAATGATTTCATCAGTCCATTGTAATGAAAGTGAAGACAACTGAGAATTTTTATTGGTATCGGATTGGTAAAAACTGAATTTTTTTGTAGCTTGTATTTCTGTCACAGTAATGGAAAGCACTCAGATGAGAAACAGTGGGTTTTTCTTCAGTGAGATCAATTTTTTTGCATTATTTAGTAGTAAAACAGCACAAAAATGTCGAAAACAACGATTGCACGCCAGCTTATGGAGGAATTACTTGCTGCTCGGCTTAGGGGGGAGGGGGGTGCATTTTGCACTTTGCTAGTTCCTTCTGTGAGTGCGAGTGAATTAGCAGGTCTACTTCTGGTGAGAACTGTCCGATTGGGCCTGGGAAAGTGTACGAGTGAGCCACTTTGGTCACAGAAATTCACAGGTCTTCACAAGGTGGCCTGTAAAAGCTCCACCGTGTACGGTTCAGTGCCCACACCAAGCCGAACTGCAGCATGGACTTATTCGATTGGTGGTTCCGCTCTTGCTTTGTATAGTGCATTTACATCACCTTATCACCATCAGGGCCTTATCATCTACTGTATAGTGAATTTACATATTTCACCTTATACTTATCATTTCACCTTCAACACAGCGAAGCGCTCTACCGTACTTGACTATTGCAATTAACTTTGAAACTAATCGATTCCTCAGCAACATCGTGAAAATATCTGTAGGAAATCCAAAAATTGTAGGCGGTCCCCCGTTGTTCTATCGGACAAACGTCAAGAAAATGTACTCACGATCTTCGTCTAGAAGGTCGATTTTGACACCGACAGCTTTCCGCGGATTGGTTGGACATCGCAGTCGTCCGACAACCAGAAAACATTCTGAACGTCCTTGAACCGCCATTAAAAGCTCGAAATGAGCGAGTATAGTCATCAGCAGTGAATGCATGGAACTAGAGCCAGAGGTTACTCGGCCGCACAGAAGATTCCTGAAGAGGTCGACGTCGAGTTGTTTGCGCTCATGATAACAATATGGGTGACTCGCGGTCTACGGACAACTAGAACTCATTCCCTTTAATGGCGTGGACTTTGTGTTTTTCTCACCGCTCTCTCGTCTGCATGGCGTATCGTGACCACCCAGACATTTAAAATTCCAACTTCCACGCATGATACGATCTATCCACTCCGATGTTCTCCCCTTTTGAAAAAGGTCACCTCCTGGCTCGCCACTGTTTTTTTTTTGTCCCTCTCGATGCCTTAGCTACCGCAGTCCTTTGTTTCCCTGAGCTCTGGCTTTTCGCAGCAGGACCCCACAAAATTTTAGTTGTTACCTCGCACTAAGACGGCACGACGTGCTATTTCGGTACGGAGGTCCATGATAGACTACAAGGTTCAATTTAAAGGCAGTTGGCACGATAAATCCCCAAGACGAGTAGGATTAATACGCCTGGCAGGACGGAATTCCGCGACCCTGAGCAGGCGCTGCATAATGCCTTTTCCAAGGAAGGTGCCCTTATAAGGGCCCTATCAAGCCACAACATACCGACCCAAACGCCCGCCACGCCCGCCCGCCCACAAATGGACGACCGTTCCTGACGCTCGTATTGATTCATTTGCTAAGCAAATTATGAAGCGAAGGGATTGGTATGAAGCGGCCGTGATGCTGCATGGATATATGAGTACACATATGCAGCCGTACCTTCGGTAGCGGTTATTGGCAAGATGCCTACAGGAAACTCGTCCAAAATCGATTTTTACATTGAAGGAAGAGGCTCTACTGAGAATGGAGGCTTCTTCCTTCAATGTAAAAATCATAATTTTGGACGAGTTACGCAGGATTTTGACCGTTTCACTCCGTTCTTTCGCCATTTCCCCACTATATAGCGCCCTACTAGCATTTTAGGCCGAGCACCAAATCATCGTGCCAACTGCCTTTAACTTCAACTCCGATTTTGAGCTCTACTTAAAGGCGAAGCCTGCGATCACAGGATGGGTAGTGGAGCTCAAATAGGAACGACAAGGTACTA